CCGGCCGCGAGCGCAGCGCTCGTCCGAGGTATATCGTGCCGGCCGACCCTGCGCAGCGCCCGGCGCCGGGCCCCGCGCCGCGCACCTGCTGTCCCCGCAGCGCCTCAGCGCCGCGGAGCCCCTGCCGGAGTGTGGCCGCGCCGGGAGGTCGGCGACAGGTGGGCCGGCGGGGGCGGCTCCGCTTTCCGCGCCTCCGGGCCGGCGGGGCTCCAGGCTGTCCTTGGGACCGGACCGAGCCCGGGCGCCGGGGCGTCGCGCCCCCCAGGTCCCTGGTGGGCAGCCCGGGGAGTCCCTGTGAAGTCCAGCCCGAGGTCCTGAGACCTTGGACAACAAGCCAGCCCCTGGATGGTTCCCTGGCCCGCAGACATAGAATGAAAGTGGCTGCGCCTCCCCTCTGACGTGCGGATCCGAGACCTGCGCACGTAGGAAGCTGCACGGGGAAGGCTTAGGTAGACCGTTTCCTTGCTACGCTTTGTTTCTCGTTAAATCTCCCACCGACAGTACGTGGGTTCTTGTTCACCTGGATGAAGTTTTTAATGAAAACTTAGATAAAGTCACAATGGTTTATGTTATTTTAAAAAAATGTAACGGAACCTTCTTTCTTAAAACCGTATTTGGAAACCCAGTTTGTAAAATGATAAAAAGAAACCTTTCTCTGTCTCGGAACACAGATCGAGAAGAGCCGTCACGGAGTTGAGGAAATGTTTTGTGTTTGTGTTAATGGGATTCGGAAGATACATCCTTGGCCTGTGTGCTTTCACTTTTCCTTTGATGTTGGTAGACTGTCCTGCAGTTGACAGTTCATGTTTCTCACATATCCTGGGAAAAGGCCCCACATTTTCCAGGAAAGGCTTTTCTCTTCCATGTTCTCTTGCACCCCAGGCCCATGGGGAATAATTGGGAGACCTCATGCTCATTGCTGGTTTAAGTTGCTCAGGCACAAAACGGAAATGGAAGACTTTTTGCAAGAGTTACTGAGATCGTAGGAACTGTGAGATAATAAATGTTCATCGTTTTAAACCAGAGTTTTGGGGTAATTTGTTATGCACAATAAATTAATGGGCGGCAACAACGCATTATGTATTGTTTTAAATTTTGGTGTTGTGTAAAACTATCATTGACTCTTACCCATCATTTTGTTAAACACAATTTATGACTAGTAGGTAATAGTATATTTCTGGAAGTATCCTCTGAATTATTGGGCTGAGCATTATGTTTAGAATAGTTTAAATTTGCTTTCATTTTTAAAAGTGGTAATCTCTGTGATGCATTATGAATAGAACCAGGACAGGCCATTTTTCATATTGTCATGATCTGGTAGCTGTTTTATACTTAAAGTTATAGACGGTATTATATCTTAGGCAGATTTATTTGATTATGACTTTAACAAAGGCACTCAAAAATAATTATTGGGGAAAGACTGCAGTTCCCTAGGAGGTAACCTCTTCTTACTAGAACCATAAGTAAGGAAGTTAAGATTTTTGTTCTTTTCCTCTGAATATTTCTGTATTTCAATTGAAGAAAGAGTGTATGACCATGGAATATGGATAAGGGATGCACAGTGAGTTGTGAAATTTGATTTTAAACATGAAGACATGTTTGAAAAGTTTGAAAGGATTCTCGGTCTTTTATTTTACTTTTTCAAAATGTAAAAGGTGTATATTTATTAGTTACAAAAATTAACATATAAAAATACCTGAAATACTATTTGAAAAAATCAGATCATAGAAATTTTCTAAAAGTTTTGTAGTTTTAGTTTTTATATTTAGGTCTATGACCTATTTCTAGGGGTTGCTAGAGTGTGTGGTGTGGGGTATGGGTCTCGGTTCATTATTTTCCTTTTTGGATACACAGTATTTTTGATGGTATTTGTTGAAGATTATCCTTTCCCTTTTGAATTTCTTATCCTTTGCCTGTTGAATTGCCTTGGTATTTTTGTTAGAAATCTACTCATGATATTTGTGTGGGTCTGTTTTTAGACTCCCTCTCCTATAGATTTACATGTCTCTCCATATGTCATACCATACTGTCTTCCTTACTGTAGCTGTATGTATGGTTTGAAATTGGTTGGTATAAATCCTCCAACTTTGTTCCTTACTTTCAAAGGTTCTGTGCATTTTAATAAATATTTTAAAATCAGCTTTTTAGTTTCAAAAACTTCTTGGGATTTTAATTGGGATTGCCTTGAGTTACTAGATCAGTTTGTGGGAAATTGCTATCCTAATATTGAACCTTTGAATCCATGAATGAGGTATATATATCCCTCCAATTTCTTTTTTTTAACCCTTACCTGAGGACATCTTTATTCATTTTTAGAGAGGAAAGGAGGGAGGAGAGAGGAGGGAGGAGCGAGAGGGAGGTGAGAGAGAGAGAGAGAGAGAGAGAGAGAGAGAGAGAGAGAGAGAATATCGATTGGTTGCCTCCTGCATGTGTCCTGCCTGGGGATTGATCCCACAGCCTAGGTATGTGCCCTGACCGGGAATCAAACCTGAAACCTTTTTGATGTATGGGATGATGCTCCAACCAATGATCCACCCAGCCAGGGCTCTAATTTCTTGCAAAATGTTTAAAGTTTTATAGTATTCAGGCCATGTGCATATTTTATCAAATTTATTTCTTCATTTTTTTAATATTTAGATTTTATTATAAAAGGGATTAAAAATCCTTTTCCACGTGTTCCTTGCTAATACGTAGAAATACAGTTGGTTTTGTATATTACCTTTATATCTTGTAGCCATTTTAAATTCACTTATTCTAGTATTCTTTTGCTTAGGGTTTTAGAATTTTCCATACCTACAATCATTGAAAAGACAATTTTACTTCTTCCTTTTCAATCAGTATACAGTATCTTCCTTATCTTCTTTCTTTCTCTCTTTCTCCCTCCCTCACCCTCCTTCCCTCTTCCTCACTCCCTCCCTCCCTTCTTCCCTCCTTCCTTCCCTTTCTCTCCTTCCTCTTTCTCTTCTCTTTTTGTTTTCTTTCTTTTCCTTATTGCACTGTGTAGGTCCTCAAATTCAGTATTATGATAGAAGTGATAAGCATACATCCTCATTTTGTTCCCACTCTGAAGGGGAAAGTATTCAGTCTTAATACTTGATACCAAAAGCACTAACAATACTTTTTTGTTGTTGTTTGTTTGTTTTAAATTCAAATTCTTTATTGTTTAAAGTATTACATGAGTCTCCCCCCCCCCCCTCCACTTGACCTCTCCCCGGCCGCTCCCACCGCCCAATGCGGTTTTTTTAAAATGTTAAGTTAAACTTAATAAAAATTAAGACACTGTTAAGAAAAAGGAAAGAGATGCTACTACTTGGGAGCAAATACTTGCAATTCATATATCTGACAAAGGACTTTTATCCAGTGAATATAAAGAACCTCTATAAATCATTAATAAGAAGGCAGACAACTCAATTTACAATATTGGTAAAGAGATTTGGGTAGATACTTCACAAAAGAAGATATTTGTGTTTCCAATAGGCACATTTAAATTTTTCAACATATTTAGTTATTTAGGGTAATGCAAATCAAAATTATAAACAACATTTAGCCTACAGGAATGGTTAAAATAGAAAAGACTAACAATATCAAGTGTTGATGAGGATATAGAGCAGTAGGAATTTAACATAAGTTGTTAATAGGAACGTATAATGATACAGGCACTTTGGAAAAAGTTCAGATTAACTTTTACCTACACTTATTCTATGACCCAGAAATTCCACCCCTGTGAGCGTGACGGGGCAGCAGGTGGGGCGCGCGCAGGTGGGCAGGACTGCAAGTGGGGTGAGGCGCGAGTGGGTGGGCAGGGCCACGTGATTTTGTGCGTTGGGCTTCTATAAATAACCTTGCAGTGAACAAAGTGGTGCATATGTGCTTTCAAATTCGTGTTTCAGGTTTCTTCAAATATATACCCAGAAGTGGAATTGCTGGGTCATAAGGCTGTGAGTGTGTCATATGATCTTTATTATGTTCAGGTATGATCCCTCTGTTCCCAGTTTGCTGAGAGTTTTTATCATAAATAAGAGGCCCAGTGAACGGATTCGTGCACATTGAAAGAAAATGGTGGCCAGCAGGGCAGGACTGGGGGAGATAGGCCGGACATGCCCTGGATCCAACCTCCTGCAGTCCCTCCCTGGCTGGCCACATCTGAGGTGGTGCTGGGGCTCAAAGGGTGTCTGCGGAGTGAGTGGGGTCCCTCTGGCCTGGCTTGCAGGGATCGAAGGGATCCTGGAGTACGAGAGGGCACTCTGCAAAGTTGCTGTTGCTCAGCAACTCCAGTTTGAGCATTTGCCCCCTCGTGATCAGTGCGCATCATAGTTACCGGCCAGTTGGCCGGTCGGCCGGTCACTTAGGCTTTTAAAGATATACTAGAGGCCCGGTGCACAAAAATTTGTGCACTCGGGGGTGGGGGGTCCCTCAGCCCGGCCTGTGCCCGCTTGCAGTCTGGGACCCCTCGGGATGACCACCTGCTGGCTTAGGCCCGCTCCCCGGGGGATTGGGCCTAAGATGGCAATCAGACATCCCTCTGGCAGCCTGGCAGCCCTCGGGGGATGTCCACTTGCCAGCGGGGAGCAGGCCTAAGCTGCAGTCGGACATCCTTAGCGCTGCTGAGGAGGCAGGAGAGGCTCCCATCACCACCGCTGTACTGGCAGCCATCAGCCTGGCTTGTGGCTGAGCAGAGCTCCCCCATGTGGGAGCGCACTGACCACCAGAGGGCAGCTCCTGCATTGAGCGTCTGCCCCCTGGTGGTCAGTGTGTGTCATAGTGACCAGTCATTCCCAGACTTTCTGCTGTTAGGGTCAGTTTGCATATTACCCTTTTACTATATAGGATAGAGGCCTGGTGCACGGGTGGGGGCCAGCTGGTTTGCCCTGAAGGGTGTCCCGGATCAGGGTGAGGGTCCTGCTGGGGTGCCTGGCCAGTGACTGAAGCTCCCAGCCTCTCCTTTTTTTCTTTTCTTTTTATTCTGGGATTTATTTACCTTCTATAATTGAAACATTGTTGCCGTCACTGGCGCTCCCAGCTCTGAGGCCGCGGCCGGCTGAAAGCAGGTATCTGGGGTTTGTTTAGCTTCTATAATTGAAACAATGTTGCTTTCGGGCTCATAGCCGGGCCGCGGCAGGTGGGGAACCTTGGCTTCCTCCATCACTGGAGCAAGCAAGCCTCCTGTTCGCTTCAGCTGCATGGCTGCCGACCACCATCTTTGTTGGCAGTTAATTTGCATATCGCCCTGATTAGCCAATGGGAAGCGTAGCGGAGGTATGGTTAATTACCCTTTTTGTCTTTTATTAGATAGGATTAGTTGAAAAGTGGACTGGTCACCAGACGACCAGACACTTAGCATATTAGGCTTTTATTATATAGGACTAGAAGCCTGTTGCACGAAGATTCGCGCAATAGGCCTTCCTTCCCCTGGCTGCTGGCACCAGTTTTCCTCCGGCACCCAGGACCC